TATATATATATGTGTGTGTGTGTGTGTGTGTGTGTGTGTGTGACGAACCTCAGAGGGGAAAAAGGACTCTAAAAATTTGATCGAAAAAAGAAGCGAAACAAAAAACATAAAACATAAAACAAAGGTCCCAAAATGTAGACAGCTGGTGCCTTTATGAGTTTTGATTTACGATCCGTTTCGATTTATATAATAAGTGATACATATGTGGGTACTGTTTTTTTATTTTTTAAATCTACGTGTGTCTGTTACTACCTTTAGTTTTGTTCTACTCAGTACATACCATCAATCTGATGCATTTGATTCGATGGGGCCAAACAGATTTTCCTTCAGAAATGGTGCAAGAAATACCATTTTGGCACACGTTATACACCAATAAACGTGGCTTTAAACATACCTGTTTTAACTAAAATGGGCTTAGATTTAGCCTAAAACCTGATGTTCTTAACTAACATGGATTTAGCTTTAGACCTCCTGTTTTAACTAACATGGGATCAAATTTAGCCGCAAGCTTATTTGTTTTTAACACGGGATAACATTTTGGCAATCGCCTGTTTTTAACCAACAGAGGTTTAGCCGTATTCCCTTTTCAAACTAACACGGATTTAGCCTTACACTTGTTTGGTTTTTTTTATCCAACATGTGTTAAATTTTAGCTGTACAATTTACACCTGCTGCTTGTAACTTACATTGGTGAACACACATTATTTGATCTTACTCCTGTCGTCAACTAACATGGGTGAAAATCTAGCCTTACGCTTGTTGTTTGTCAAGTGTTAGTCTTATATCTGCTGTTTTTTTTAAAGAACTAACATGGGTTTAGCCTAACAACTATTTCATCCACCACCAGGGCAGTGCTACTACTGACTGAAGTGTCTGAAGGCCATTCCAAAAGAGGGGATACTTTTACTACCATACGTTAAATTTAGCCGTGCGCAGGTTTTGGGGCTTTTTTGGGTTTGTTTGTTTGTTTGTTTTGTTTTTGTTTCGATTTGTTTTTTGTTGTTTTTTGTGTGTTTTTTTTACTATATGGATATAATCGTACGTTTTATTTTATTACTAACATATGTATAACATTACAAATGCTTTTGACTTTCTAGTGTATAACATTATACACGTTTGATCTACCGCCTCTGAATCAGAATTCAGGTACATGCTTTACCTAATTTTGGGATTTGCTTTGCGTACGATTTTTCAAACCATGGGAAGTGTTTCTATCCTCAAAGGTTTTAGTTGAAGTTTGTCTTGTTCGTACCTGTCGAGAGAGAGAGAGAGAGAGAGAGAGAGAGAGAGAGAGAGAG